TATGAGTGTCATTAAGACAAGGTTGTGTAATAGAATGGAAGATGATTTTTTGTCTAGTATCATGCTTGTATATATAGAGAAGAAGATTGTTGACACTTTTCCATTAGATTATCTTATTGATGAGATTGAAGTGATAAAGACAAGTAGAGACCAATTTCAAATGTCCAAACCATCTCTACCATCTATTATATAGATAAGCAATTTACTTTTTGTCTTTTTGATATCCATCTGACGTTCATGTTTTCAATTTGTATAGCGTTGACACATAGATGGAAATATTATTTTTGTATGACAAACTGATTATCTTTTTGGTTGGTCAATCTAACTTGCCTATTTTGGTATTTAAAATCGTTGTTTTCAATCATCTTAGTTAAAAAAAAAAATTCGGGGACTCCGCTCCCGAACCTTTGGGAAGGGGGCCCACCCCCGTATTTTCGCCGACCGTAAAATTGAAATCCTAACTATGTCCCAGTATATTTGTACATGCGCTCACCATTTTGAACTAGCTTGACTCTGCCATGACAGTCATTGGATGCAAATTATCCTAAGTCCCTGTAGTTTGTGTCAGAATCCCAAACCTCTTGGCTATCCAATACATCAAATCCAAAATCAAAATTAACTCCCTGACTGTCAACTTTACCATTGATAACCTGCTTCCTCCCCTATTTTGTAATTTGACTCCACGAGTTCCACTCTTCTTTCCTTTTTAGCCAATACATTATTCCCCAAGTCATTTTCTTCCATTGTATGTTCATAATTTAAAAATAATTCCATATAACATAAAATGTTCGAAACCCATTCCAAATCAATTTGACACAATTCAAAATACAAAATTCAAAAGTCATTCCTAAACATAAACCCGACATAATGAATACACACTATAGTGTATTTGAGCCCCATTTTTATTGAGAACGTATTTTGTAATAGTAATTTTTTGAAAAATGAGGGGTTAAAAAGTAAGAAATTTTTTTTGAGTTTGTGTAAAATTATTTTATTGGAAAAATGTGTGATTGAAAATACGTTTTGAAATAAATGAGTTTTTAAAAAATGGGGATCAAACGTGGTTGAAGCCTATTTTCTCTCTCACTTTAAATTTTGGTCAAAGAAAATAAAGATTTAAAATTATAAGTTACTGTCGTCCGCCACTTGTTTACTTTTCAATTTTCTTAGACGAAATAGCTTGAATTGATTATATTTGAGGTCCAGTGAGTGGAGGTGATGCCGAAATCGCAGTGTCATATAAAGTCTACGGTGGCGTAATAGCAATTACTTTGCAGCAATGTTAAAGAAAATTGATAGCAAACAAAACAAATTTGGTTCTAATTAGTTGAAAGTTTATAGTAGATGTGATAATTTGTGGTGAAATTTTAGAAAAAAGTTAATAGATTTTGATAAATGATGAAAATTGATGAGTCCAATGAAATATGCTATTAAAATTAATTGTTAATTTTGATTAGCTAAACAAATACCAATCGAGGATTGCTCGATTCACAACTATTCCACACTTGGTTGGCACAAGCTTCATCCCACAAAAAGAGAACTGTGGTGATTGATTTTGCAAGCCACAAAGGAAGAGAAAACAATGGAGGAAGAGAGTTCGAAGAAGAGGGTAAATAAACTCAACAACCTCACTTGTTTCTCACTTGCACACAACACCACACAAAAAAGGGGCTACAGCAGGAAGCCTAATGTATGTTACTTAGGTTGTTATCATAAGCTGTGGCCAAGAATGAGGAGCAAATGGGCCGACAACCAAAAATAATCCAGTGGGCCAACAAATCTAATAACCAATATAAAGCACAAACTACTCATATGGGCTATCCTAAAG